TCTAACTTTATAAAATATGACCATAAATGCAAATCTTCTTTTTGGTTCTTTTTCAAAAGGAAAATCCTGTTTGGCCAGGCTCAAGGTCAGGCCAAGAAACACGCAGCCCCCTTTTGGTGGGGTATCTGTTCCTCGATAGGCACCTCGTCAATAGAGGGCCGCCGCGTCCGTCCCCAATTTTTAAGCTTGAGTTTGAACCTGGCCAAAAAGTAGGACTCTTTGCAAAATGTGGCGTCAAAATTGAACATTTCCCATAGTTTCCACTGAATTTGAATAGAGCAATGGGCTACTAAAAATTAAAAAAATGAGCTACAGTACTAAGGTTAGGTGAAAAGTCGAGGGAAAACAAAAACAGGAGAAAGAGATGCAGCGATAAATTTCATGCGTGTTCAATACAATTCTATAAATGCAATCTCAAAGACAAGTAGGAGAGAGAAGAGACAGATCGCAGAAGAAGGAGAACTGCTCACCTACACTCTTTCTTTTCTTTTCCCTTTCGTCTCCTCTCTCTGAAGAACAGGATCTCCGTTCTTTCTCAATATCTCAGTCAACATGTATTCATTGAGCCAAAGCAGTTTTCTGGTAATTTATTTTACCAATTTATATTTATAATTTTCAGATTTAGAAATATGCTTACGGGATTTTGTATCTGAGTAAGAAAGACCCATTTCAAGAAAATTTATATAAAAATCAAATCTTTTTTATATTTATGTATTCTTTGTTGATTTTGTGCAGAAAAATTCCCTTTCCGGAGTGTCTAGGGGCTTGACTAAGTCTACAAGTAAAAAGGTTTCTGCTCCATCTGTGGTGGTGTCTGCTGTGAGCTCTAATGACAGGTCAGGGGATCGAAACCTCAGTGTTTTGGAGAATACTTTAAAAGAAATGAGAGAAAATGCTCCATCACCTTCATCATCAGTGGTAATGAAAGAATCAGAATTGACGGTCGGTGGTGGAGTTGAAGATGTGTATGGTGAGGATAGTGCCACAGAGGATCAATACATCACTCCCTGGACTGTAACTGTTGCCAGGTTAGGAATATATTTTCTTGTTGTCTTATTTTTATGGAGAAATTTTTATTTTTATTTCTATTTATTTATTTATTTATTTATTTTTCAGCTCATACAGATGAGATCTTTATATTCGATCTGCTTTTGAACAAAATATTTTTAGTTATTGTCCCTATATATATATATATATATATATATATATATATATATAGTTCTATGTTAGACTTTGTCACAAATTGACGATAGAGATTTCACGAGCTACTGATTATGAAGGCCTGTTTGTTTTCTAATGGTAGCTTATATATCAATCATTTTCAATGATATTACTGTAGACTAAAAGCCTTGAACTGAATAGGATCCAGCCATATATATAATGATCATTCTTAAGTTGAAATAAGAAATCCCGAAAATAATTGATCCTAGTTCCGTTTGGGTTCTGGAGATGACTTTGGCAATTATTGTGGATGTCGAAAACCTGAAAATGGTGTTGAGGTTTTATAATTTTGTAATTTCCTTTTCTTTTTATCTTTACAATGCAGTGGATATCCATTGTTGCGCGATCCACACTACAATAAAGGTCTTGCCTTCACCGAGAAAGAGAGGGATGCACATTTTTTAAGTGGTCTTCTTCCTCCAGTGGTTATTAGCCAACATACTCAGGTTAATATAATATGATTTTCAATTTGGAATTTTATGTTTTATTTTGTTTTCTCTAGTATTTCATAAATCGGAATATTATTTTGAGAATATTTTATGCATTCTGTTGATAAGGTTAAGAAAATGATGCACAACATACGTCAATACCACGTACCACTGCAGAGGTACATGGCCATGATGGATCTTCAGGTAGTTATGCAATTTTTTTTTCCTGATGATAATGAATTCCAGTTCTTTTGATATTTAATGACCTTATATTTCATGACCATTAAATCGCATACTTATATGTTGATTTTTTTTCTGATCTTCAGGAGAGAAATGAAAGGCTGTTCTACAAGCTTCTTATTGACAATGTTGAGGAGCTGCTCCCAGTTGTCTATACGCCCACTGTGGGTGAGGCATGCCAGAAATATGGGAGCATATTTAGACAACCTCAGGGTCTTTTTATCAGTTTAAAAGAGAAGTATGTTTTAATTACAATGTATTAGTATATTTCTCAGATTAGTGACTAGAAGGCTTTTTTATCATTCATGTATACTGATTACTTGTACTATCTTTGCAGGGGGAGAATTCTCGAGGTATTGAAGAATTGGCCCGAGAAGAAGATTCAAGTTATAGTGGTGACTGATGGTGAGAGGATTTTGGGGCTTGGGGACCTTGGCTGCCAGGTATATGGACGTTTCTATGTGCTCTTTTTTATTTATTTCTAGAATGAGTTTCACTATGCTTATAAGACCCTCGAAAATAATACAGGGGATTGTTATTTGCACTCGTAAAATAGCTTATTCCAACACTTCTTCCCTTAATACACACAGAACTTGTGAAGGGAACGAGAGCAGGAAGCTATTTTTGGACTTTGAATAACAGTTCTCTTTATATAGTGATACCAGTTTTGCACTTCGTGCGCTTTTAATAAACTGTTAATGAAATTCTATGTTCTAAGTTGCTTCTGACATTTTGACGTTGTCAGGGAATGGGAATACCAGTAGGGAAGCTTTCCTTATATTCAGCACTTGGAGGCATTCGTCCTTCTGCTGTAAGTGTTTGCTATGCTAGCTTTATTTTTATTTTCTGAAATTGCTGTTCCTAAAAGTCGTGTTCATTTTAGAAGAGTTTTCCATCTTTGTCACTACCTCAAATGCAAACACTTCACCAAAACTTCATCCCTGGTCTATATCAATGGCATGCATTGTATTCCTATCAATGCCAGCTTATCATTTATGGAATTAACATTTGCACTACTGATTTGTCTCATTCTATGACAGAATACTGTTAGGCTAATTTTTTTTCTCATTACTGTTTAGATGGTGATTGGATCCAAAAAACATGCAACATTAGAGATTGTTTGATGTTTAATAAGTGATAATATTGTTCTCTGTTTATTACTGCTACTTTTTGTGTGGAAGCTTATGCATTTTTATACCTTTCAGTGCTTGCCTGTGACCATTGATGTAGGAACTAACAATGAGGAGCTGCTGAAAGATGAATTTTATATCGGACTTAGACAAAGAAGAGCAACTGGGCAGGTTAATGATTGGCTCTATTAATCTCGAAGGGAGTCCTATTCTTTTAAAAAAATATTATAGAATTGTTCTCATCTCCAGGAATATGCTGAACTCTTGGACGAGTTTATGTCTGCAGTTAAGCAGAATTATGGGGAGAAAGTCCTTATTCAGGTCAGTAACTTTCTGTAATTGTGGATTTGAGTTACCACGCTTCCTGTAATTCACACTGTCTGAGCTTTTGATCTATATTGTACAGTTTGAAGACTTTGCAAATCACAATGCCTTTGATCTCCTTGCGAAGTATGGAACTACGCATCTTGTCTTCAATGATGATATTCAGGTAACTAATATATAAATACTTTTCTTTTCTTCTTTACAAGTTTTGGGGCAATGATTAACTTTGTGTTCTTCTGCAAATGCGATTTTTTTCTTCTTGCCGGTGTCATATGTTCTCTAATCGTGTACCTTGTCTTTATATGAACTTGTCATTAACTTGCTTAGCCTTTCTATGTCGTTTGTGTTATTTTTTTGGGTTTCCTCCCCCCCAACCCCACCTTAGTTTTCATGTTGGGGGTATTTTGTGGTATATTCATCTTACTGATATCGGTACCATTTACTTTGTGTCAGGGTACAGCATCTGTGGTCCTTTCGGGACTTATGGCTGCCTTGAAGTTAGTAGGGGGAACCTTGGCTGAACATACATTCTTATTCCTTGGAGCAGGAGAGGTATTTCTTCAAGGCTCATAGAATTATTTTTCCTTTCTAATTTTAAGGAAAGTAAAATAAAAAGCTAAATTTCACGTGTTATTTTGGTTGATTTGAATATTATTTGAATTCTTATGTTTATTTTTTAAATCTGTTCTCCATCTCATTCCCTAGGACCTAATATCTTCTGATCTTTGTTCATTCAAAAAATGTTTGGCGAGCTTAAAAATTTCTAAAAGTTACGTTTCCAAAGATGTTTGGATAATTTACTTTTGATTTAAATAGTTACTTATTTTGAAAGTAACTCTTACCTTACTATTAAAATAGGTATTTGACTTGTCAATAGATAAAATTATTTACTTATAAGTAATTTTTTTAAGTGATGCCGAGCATGCTCTGATGATCTAATTTCCCTTCGTTCTACAATTTCCCCTTGCCTTAATGTGTGATTTTTATAATTTTTCCTCTGTCATCAATGCAGGCTGGCACTGGTATTGCAGAACTTATAGCTCTTGAAATGTCAAAACAGGTGAAGGCTCGATCTTTTTCTAGTTAAACTTAGGAGATAATTTGGGAATTCAATTATATTATGTCCATTTCTTACGTGCAGACAAATGTCCCACTGGAAGGAACTCGCAAGAAGATTTGGCTTGTGGACTCCAAGGTATTGAAGACCTCAATGTACTCTTATGGTACTTATGTTGCTTTTATTCATCGCCAATACTGAAAATCCAAAAAAAACTTTTCCTTTGTAGGGGTTGATTGTTAGATCCCGCATGGATTCACTTCAACATTTTAAGAAGCCCTGGGCCCATGAACGTCAACCCGTACGAAATCTGCTAGATGCTGTCAAGGTGATCTCTTTGTCTCTCTCCCCCCCCCCCCCCCCCCCCCCCCCCTCTGAGCTTGTGTGTGTGCAAGCATGCGAACACAGGCGCTCATTGGTGCACATTCAGGTTTTCGTACTTCCTTTTTTCCCTTGATGGCTGACTTGGACACGTCCCATCGAACCGGACATTTTTATTTGCTAGGCCATCAAACCAACAGTTTTAATAGGTTCATCAGGAGCTGGAAGAACATTCACAAAAGAAGTGGTTGAGGCCATGTCATCCGTTAACGAGGTTCACTTTTATTTATGTTTTTGTTATGGTAAACATACGTCCAAATGATTTGAACTAAAATTACTCGGGATTGGAATGCAGAAACCTATTATTCTTGCTCTTTCCAACCCAACTTCACAGTCTGAATGTACGGCCGAAGAAGCTTACAAATGGAGCGATGGCCGAGCCATTTTTGCTAGTGGAAGCCCTTTTGATCCAGTCGAATACAAAGGGAAGGTCTTTTCATCTGGCCAGGTTCAGTCGGAACATCTCTCAATGAATATTTATTGTTAATGTTAATGTAAATGAAGCCTTTTGAACTAACTTTCACTGCACACTTGTTCTGGTTTAGGCAAATAATGCATACATTTTTCCTGGATTCGGTCTGGGCTTGATTATTTCTGGTGCGATCCGTGTTCATGATGATATGCTCCTGGCAGCCTGTAAGTTAAACATAATTAAGTCCTTGTTTGATAAAACTTTTTTATAAAGTGATTTTCCCTTCACTTATTTTCAACAACACATTCTCCAGAAAGAAAATCATTTTTCATGTTTTACCATAACTTTTCCCTACTTTATTAACCACATTTTCCATAAAAACCACTTCAAAAAATAGTTTTATCAGACAAGGCCTAAATCGCAGTATGTTCTATATAATTAAAAACACTTAGATTGAGAGCATGTTTAGCTAAGCTTAAAAAGATCACTTTATGTAAGTAAATAAGTAGATTTTAAAATGAATATTTTTTTATTGATGAAAGTTGAGGTATGTAGAGTTTTGGGAAAAAAAGAGAACCTTGTGGTTATTCTAAACTTGAACTTGGAACATCAATACTGCTGATCTCATATTACTCGTTTCACATTATGCGCCAAGTATCACTGACCTCTTGTTTTATGGCACCAGCTGAAGCATTAGCCGAACAGGTTACAGAAGAGAACTTAGAGAATGGACTTATATACCCACCATTTGCGAACATCAGAAAAATTTCAGCCCAGATTGCAGCCAAAGTAGCAGCCAAAGCGTATGAACTTGGTAAGACTCGAAAATTGTGATTATAAAATGCATTAGCTAAAGTAAAGTAATTTGTTATATCTAAATGTCTTGAGGTTTCTTTCATTCTTCGTAGGCTTGGCTACTCGTCTACCTCAACCTGAAGACCTGGTGTCATATGCAGAGAGCTGTATGTATAGCCCTAATTATCATAGCTATCGCTGAACCAGTGGAAAAATCTATAGATAGTAATTCTCTAGCATAGATATCATTTTGCATGTTATTTCTTTTTTTAACGGATTCTTTAGGTTTTTCGTTTATTTTGTTTTATTTTTATTTTCTGGGTTTTCATTAAATTCTCCAAGTGAGACAAGGGCGGGTAAGATTAGAAATTTTCTTACAAAAGGCACCCAAAATGTTGTAATGGTTGAAACTCTTGATAGTAATAAAGGCACTTCTTTATAGCTTATTTGAGCCTGGGATTATACTCTTTGATTCCAAGTGGTAAATAGCAGCAGCCATGGAAAAGAAGCTGTCGAAATTCCTTGCTTATTGATCTCCAACACATTTACTACATATATATTACTCGATATTAGATGTGTAAAGTGGCTTGGATTGGCATGGTGCTCAGGTCGGGCATTGCTGTATTTGGATTTTTGTTAAGAAAAAAAGGGGAAAAACCAGCACGAGGAAGCAAAGAATCTTCAAGTCGACTCGCACAAAGAAGACCAAGTCATCAAGACCTAACTGAACTTGTAGAAGAAGATCAACCAGAAACATAATGAACCCCATTGCACCAGCAGCTATACATGTATAAATCAAGATAAGAAACATTTATATAGGGTTAGAGCCTCAATTCAGCAAGAGCACATAGAGTTCCCGATTATGTTTTTTCTTCAAATTTAGTTGCTCGAGTCATCGATTCCAGGAAAACATGTTAACCAATAAGGATTCTCACGAAAGGGAAAAATAGTAAGATAACATAAATAATGAAGCATAAGAAAATCACTACCTTTATTCACACATGATCAGCTCGTTTTGCCATAATCCCATTACGAAAATTCTCTCCCTCTCTCTCTATATATATTGCAGTTCAAAGCCAATAAACCTATATCACTCTACAATATGTCTAGATGAAAGATGAAAGCAAGAAAGAGAAGTATGCAACTGATACGAGGAAGGAGAGTGATAATCCACTATTTTACTGTACTGCAAACTGCTTGGACCTGACTAGCTTCACCCTTGATTTGACAAGAGCTGCTGAGCACTTGGGTGAAATGCCGATTGCGTTTAAATCTCCCCTGGTAGCCCAAGTGAGAGTGGTAATTCTTTGATATTGCCACTGCCAGCCGTTCCTAGACTCAGCTGGGACATACCCATCAGCCCCTCAACGTTTACTGCTTCTTTTAAATTGACTGGAATTGTCTTGAAGTTCTGATGATCAGAAACAGCTACTCCACCATTCTCTAGAGAGGCTGAATTTGGTGGCCACGGTTGAATTGGTAAAGGAGAAAAAGCTGGCTTGAGAGAAAGATCGAGAGAAGGCACTGAACGATTGGTTTCTGCCACTTGAGAAGACAAAAGCATAAGTTGTTTGTTGTCAGTTCCCGCTGCTTGAGGAGGGATACTAAATAGTGCTGGAGTTGACGATGGATTTTTAGCCTGATATACATGATTGTCATAAAAAAAAAACAATGAAACGAAAATCAGTCTTATAATCCTAATTTATTTCAGATTTGGATTTCCACAACGTATAAGCATCCAGACATTTCCACTGTTGAGGAAAATAAAGAGTGAAGTGCATTACTGACAACTCAGCATGGAATTTTTAAAATGTTTTCTCTGTTTAACATGATGTTAGTGACTAGAATAAGAGGTAATCTTATCTATGCTTTAGTCTCCGTGTGCATGTGTGGGTATCTCTACTTGCATATGGGATTTTCCCTTCAATATGATATACCTTGAATATATAATACGATATTCATTAGCGAGATAGGATCAAGACAAACCGTGTCCAGCACCATGTCGAAGAGGCTGGATCTTCTCTTTCCTCGAGTTGCTGAATTACAGTGACGATTAAAGAACTTTTGGGCATGGCTTGCTACCTGGGTTGGAGTCTTTGATGGAACAAAGTTTCTTGATATATGCCGCCACTCTCCTTTCCCAAATCTCTGCAGACCAAGAAGGAATTGTTGATGCTCTTCGTGTGTCCATGGAACACCTGCAAACCAAAATCCAATCATAATTACTGCAAATATAGGGAGATAAAGCACCCTATTTTTTCATCACCTACTAGTACTATTAAAGGGAAGCTTATTAGTCACTAGTGTTAGCAAATATGGTAATAACTCTATAGACAAAAAGAAAACACTCAGAATCATGCTAGAGAAGATAAATTACATGAGGCATACTGAAGATGTAGAAAGTGAGGAAACAATGCTGCATGAAATGTGGATTTTAACATTGATAATGTTGCCATTGATGCACCATAGACCCCAAGAACGATCAAGGGGTCCAATATCCTCTTTCTTCAACCACAAGGCTTAAAGATTTCACAGGATACAGAGTACTATATCAAGGACTAAAAGGAAATTATCCGGGGAAACATACTGGAACAATTCACCACAATGCTACTTCTTGTGTTACTAATCCTTTCCACGTGCTGAAAGTAACAAAAAGATGAAAATAAATAGCTCTTTTTGCCAACTTTTGATCTAATTGTTAAACTCATAAATATGATGGGAAGATAATAACTGATAAGTGATAACAATCAACTAATCTTCAATTTGTAAATTTTCATCTGGGTTAGAAGAGTCAAAATGACAAAGCCAATAATAATAAAAAGATCATCAGTTTCTTATACTGGCCAAAAAGGCATTGATTTGTCGTTACTGATCCTATAATGCCATAAATCCATGCAACAATCAAATGAAATTATTTAATGTACAAGTAAACATGTGGATAACGGCATTATCAGGGACAACAATATGCACACATTGGAGACAGAAAATAGGAACAAAGCAAAGAGACAAATTGTGTTAGAAAATAAATTAGAGTTAATGGAAATCCATGTCAACCAAATAAATGATATGGAATTTTCGGGGGAAAGAGTAAGATAAAAAACTATATAATAGCAATCTTCTCTATATTCCTGGCTGACCTTGATATTTTGGGGGCCATATGCCAACTTTAAATAGGGGCCTTATTGAAGAAAAATCACCGTATTCTTACTTGAGCCTTCCTATAGAGAGTTCTAATATAATCATGAAGAATCTAAGACAGACAATTAAATTCCAAAGTTTGAAGAGGAAAATAACAAAATGTTAAAATTCAACATGCAATTCTAATTATAAGTGAAGTTTAGCATACAAAATTATAATGCAATGTCAAAGGAGTCTGTTCGTTTTTTTGGTTATTTTCTCGCTGCAATTATCTAAAAAAAAATTGAATGTGCATTTGAGTAATTTATGTACAAAATAAAAAAATGTTGATTGCGAGATATTGTATAATAAAATAATAAAAATAACGATCAAATACAAATGAGCTCTTAATCTTATATCAATTCATAATAAATTAAGTTAAAACTGAGAAGTATGAACACGGACAAAGAATTATTATCATGAGATTAAAGAGACATTTTTGTTTGGTTAAGAAAAGAAAATGGATGTTTGGAAAATAAATGGTCAAATTACTTAGAGAGAGTAATGTTTGTAATATATTTATATGACAAATAAATGTAAGTGATAAGCTTTACGTCATTTATATGTTTTTCTAAAGCTTTTTGTATTTTCAATTTTTATTAGTTTCTTGTGTTTGCGTATTGATAATTCTATTTTAAGGAATTTTATAAATATGATTTTTGTTTTTCTTCAACCAATTAATCTTACATAATTTGGGGCCGTCGCCAAAGTAGAACTTTAGGCGATTTCCTATAGGCCGGGCCGCCACAATCGATATTTGATAACATTACTATCAAGCAAGCTATCCTCTTCACTTCAACAAACCAATTACCCCTCCCACAATCATTAAGCCCCCGTTTGGCCCCCATTTTCCTTCTCATTCTTTTTCTCTTTCTTATTTTCAACCACACAATTTTTCTTAAAATAATATTACACGCAAATAAAATAACTTTTCATTCTTTTTTAACCACACATTTTTCACAAAATCATTATTCCAACCATTAAAATTTGGAAAGAATGGGAGCCAAACGGGGGCTAAAACTACTTTCGACTCTTTATCCACTCAAATGAATATTATTTACGAAATTAATTCAAGTTAATTTACGGTGCAAAGACCCTTATGTTCTTTCCTTTTTAGTCGAATCTGCAAAACAAATTAATATTCAGAGAGTATTCCGAGTCAATCTCAAACGTGAAATGAGTATTCCTAAGTCAATATTCAAATTTAACTACCATGCCAAAAGTCTTTGAAGTCAATTTTCAAACAAAATTGAATTGGAAAAGTGTTATTAGGCTCAATCATAAAGTTAAATCAACAGTTTTCGACTCAATCAATAAATTAAATTAACATCAAAAGAAATTTTGTTGTAAATCTTGAGTATAAATCCACATGCAATGCATAAGCACCACATATTAACACAAATTAACTCAATTAAACCCACATGCAAAGCAAAAACACTAAAAGATTCCCCAAATTAACTCAATGAAACCAACATGCAAACATTAAGAAATAAAAAAATAAATAAAAATCAAAACCTTTTCTTTTCTGGGCTGGAGGGAGAGCAGCAGAAGCAGAAGCGCCACGCGGACCGTCGGAATGATACCCATCCGGCGAATCCGGCGCGGCAGCAGAGGAGGAGGAGGAATGGTAGTTTGCGAGGTTACCCATGCTAAAACTCTTCTTAATGTACGATCCATCTATCAACCGCACCCCAAACAGCGTAAATCCACCGCCATCAGGGCCTCCGTCTCCGTCTCCGCAGCCACCGCTCCCACCACCACCGTCGATCTCTTTCCCCGTCCTCACTGGACAAGTGCGCGAGTTATGCCCATCGGCGTTACAACACGAGCACTTCCGCTTCATTTTCCACTCAATCCAAATTTGGTTAATAATATATACAGTTATATAATGTATATGCATATATAAATATAAACATGATCTGTGTGTATAGACAGAAAGAGAAATGGAGTTTAGGGAGAGAAAGCGAAAGGGGTGGAGGTGAGAAATGAATTGTTAGCCTTTGGATTTATATAATGGCGATCTAATTATGGATTTGGGGATAATTACAGGATTAGGATTTACGCGGTTGTTTTTGTATTCTAGTTGGTTGATAACGTGGTCTCATTGAAATGACTGTTTTGTCCCTTTTCCAACACTGCCTCGTGCTTACACGTCAACCTTTTAGGAGGTGGAATTTGGGCTTTTCGGTGACGCGATCTTTTGTTTGTAGTTTAGGCTCACCGAATTACAATTGGGAGAAAAAGAAAAAATGATGGATTTGAAAAAAGTTTCTTAAGTATATATTGTAGTATTTCAATATTAATTTGATCCGCGTGATCGTGCGTCAATCACTTTTTACTTCGTCTCGTCTCACCTCGCCTCTCATTATTTAGGTGAGAAAATTATTGAACATGTAATGAAATCGTCCAAGATCGCTAAAAACATATAGAGCTTTGACGACTCTGAGTGCATTTAGGAGTTATAACTAAGGTAACCGAGCAACATCCAACCCTGCCATATTCACGAGGCTAGTGTGCCACTTACTACATGAACTCATCATAAATAGGGTTAAACAAAATTCTCGAACCAAATCGACTGAATCGAATTTGAACTAAACCGAGCGGTTCTTCTTAAATGAAATACCCGAACGGGTATTTGAATTTAGAATCGACGGGTTCGGTTCGGTTCTCGATTTTAGATCAAGGCCCGAAAAATCGAATAAGAATCGAATCGTCCTAATTTTTTTAATTAATTTATTTTAAGTAAGCTAAAATATTTTATTTTTTCTAAATAAATTTGTTAACTAGTTAATTTAGTTCAAACAAAAAAAATATGATTTTTCAATTTCTAATTTTCAGTTCAAAGCCAACTTAATCAAATTGACTTGAGTTTTATCCAACTGTTACTTTACTGTAGTGCCGTTTCTACCGTTCTAGAGAAATCGAATTAAAGTTCGACAACATCTCTTTTAATTATTTTGAGCTCGTTATCTTCCTCTTCCTGTGATTTTAACAATTAAATATATGAAGAACTCAGCAAAGAGAGAAGCAAAGACATATTAAATTGGACTACGTTATTTTATAAGAACTAAGATTAAACATATCATTAGTTGAATTAATGTAACTTTATAAATATTAAAATTTTTAATTATAGTACGGAACTTGAGAACTGAACCGAACCGAACCCGAACAATTTCATAATTAAATTTGGACCCAATAGTTCTACTTACTAAATACCCGAAAATTTCGGATCAATTCGATTCTCGTTAGAACCAAACTGGACGAGACCATGTCCAGCCCTAATGATAATTGAGGAGAATCCTAAGCAGACGAGTCATATTCATTTGTAATCGACTCAATACTTTTGACTTGATGTCCTTTGCAAATTTGATAACAAGGAGCTTGGTCTCCCTATGTTATAATGTAGTGGGTCTTATGTTCCCCGACAAACAAGGTGGTGGAAAGCTTGCCTCCGCAAGATCTTTTCGTATGAGGCAAATATCGACTGACATCGTTGTACTACACTACAAATAGTTGCCCGAAAGACAGACAATTCTAAGATGCCATGAACGAACCACACATAGATGCCATATTAAGCTAAGAGAGAAGGACTTTCATAGTAACAAACTGCTACAACAGGTACCAAAAAAGATTTGTGATTGTTATAGAGTTGGTCATGTGTAGACGAGGTCAAATCGACCACAAAAATAACCAAAAAGTTGAGAATACATCCCGCTTAAACTCTATATACTCTAGAATAACACATGTATTCTTAAACCTAGCCAAACTCCTTCTATTTTGTTTCTCTAGCAATTAAATTGAAATTTTGATTTGAGCATTGTAGCGTAATGTTGAACCAGCTCTTAGTACGATGACATTGTATTTTATTGTAGTGCTCTAGTGTGAAGGTAACATACAAGTTGCAAAGAACATGACTAGAATCTATTGACAACTTAGTTGCCTATTAGACATATAATTGGTATTTCATTATTTAATGGGTAATATTGCTAATTTCATGAGTCCAAATCAAACTTTTGAGTACGATATTTTATGAACATGAGAGATTTAAAAAGAATAATTGTTAATAATTAGAGAGAACGAGAGAAAAGAATAAGAGATAAAATTTGTTCGCTTGAAACCCACAAGTATATGTGATCGTTGTATAAGTAATAAGATTTGTGAGTTAAACGTATTTTTCCCAAGAGAAATAAGGTCTAATTTGTAGTTCAATATTTGCTATTAAATTTGAAGTGTAGTGACATCAAAAGAGTTGTGATTTGGTTGTTATTTATTCTAATTCTACTCTAAGAAAGTGATTAAGGGGGATGTCCTCAATTGAGATTGTAATGAATTTTAAAAGTCATTCTAAATTTACGTATTTTCAATTGAGATTTTATTATATTTTAATTAAATTCATTAAAATTTAGGTGTCCCCGATTGAAATTTTAATGAAATCCTTTAAAATTTAAGTATTCTCAATAATTAGTGGATTTATAAAGTTTTCATTAATAGAAGGATTTTAAAAGATTTGGATGAATTTCAAACTTAAAAATACATATAAGTAAATCTTTTGAAATTTCACCATATTTGATGAGATTCTTATGAAATTTGTAAGAATCTATTTAAACCCACCAAATTCATTAGAATTTATAATCATTTAAAATTCATCAAAATTTTAGTTGAGAACACCCCTGTAAATCTAATGTGAATGCTTATAGTGGATTCATATATCTCCTTATTTTCATTATTTCAATTCTCAATAATCATTCAATTCAATTCATGCATTTTTGACAACTGATAAAATTAATATGTTAAATGATCTTTTTCAAGATACACTAACCTATAACTAACATGAGACGATCATATTCCTAATCCAAATTTATATGAAAGTCATACATTTAGTTTAAATTATCAATAAGATTACATGTGTGAGAGAGATTATTCCTAATTTTATCTACACGTTGATTCTATCGCGTCCTAGACTCATTGTAAGTATTCTCATACTACAAGAAGCAACTAACTACTTAATCGATGATCAAGCAATAAGCAGTGCAATAGGTATGTAAAATCAATCAAACAATAACACAAAATTCCTAAATTGAAGTCATAAATTGAAATAAATGAAAATAGGGAATAAACGTAGCCAACCACTCTAATTATTAAATTATAAAATAAATAACGAAAAGACATCATCCAGATCGAGAAATAATAAAGAAAGTGATGAAATCTAATTTCTTGGCTTGAAACTTGAAAAAGTGATGAATATTTTTCAATAACTTGTATAGTTTGCCTTTGTTCGATGTTGCAATTTAGTCCTCACAGTTTTAATTTTGCCATTTTTCTCTTTTTTTTTTTTCACTTATTTTCTCAAATTCTTCATCAAATCACGAGTTTTACCTATTAGACATAATATAACACAAATTAAGCTATATTTCATCAAAAGAATTATAAAATATCATTATTTAAAACCCCGAATAAATATATAAAATACACTTATTTAAAGTCAATACTCATGTATATATTTTAGTGAGAATCGCATCTTATATTTATAGATAAGAATTATGTTTGCGAGGATAAAATTGTTATTCAATAATTAGTATTTAATTGTAACATTTCCTCTTCTGCCTTATTAAAAATATTATTTGATAGAAATTCAGTGAAGCAAAAAAATCATATGAAGAATAAAAGGGTACAATTATTTTTAAAGTATTAAAATAAATGTTACCTCATTAGAAGTTTAATTGAAAAATTTAATTGGATAAAACCTGAGTAAAGGTAAACGAGTATAACAACTTCTTCAGCTATTAATCGTCGAAGATCTTTTAATCGACGTTTTCTAATCTCGTACCAATTTCTTAAATGTAGACATTGAAAATGCTTTTATGAATAAGTCAACTACATTATTACATAAACAAATTTATTGAACATTAATGTCACTAGTATTATGAAACTCATATATATAGAAAAAATTTGAAGAAATATAATTTGTGTTGTCTCCTTTAATATAGCCGCCATTGAGTTACACAATAAAACTACATTTTCGACTTCTTTCATGAATATACATTAAACATCTCTAGGCGTGTCAATTTGGATATATGGATTTAGAAGTCATAACAATCACCGTTTAATGCAACAAATTCTTCCTTTAGCTATATGTAAATTGTTGCCTAATCCAATGCGATATACCGAAGGTACTTATCATTTAAGTAGGGCAAGATCTGTCGTTGAAGTTTCGCTAGTTACTCGCCAAGTGGTCGCTCGAGCAACAAAAACAGAAAGGTCGTTGCTCCCTTTTCGCTCGAGCGAAGGTGTTACCCATAAAATCCTATTTTCCTTTTTCCGACATTTTAACCCGACCTAAATGTCCAAATACACTTCATATAAATAAAACTGCGCTAGTTTTTAGACGTTCTCTTAAGGATTGAAATTGAAGAAAACTCTCCACACGTTGATTTTCTCATTCAATCCCATATTTGATTCACTCAATTACACAAAAAACATCAAATTAACATTCATCAAACACCACAACATAACCTTCTAGAGCCTTTGTTGATTCTTGGAGATCGAGGAAGGAGATCGGAGTCCCGATCAATAGAAAACAAGCGGTTCTCTTGAATCCACGGGAGATAGACGAAATCAAGAGCCGGGAATTGGTGTAGCACGCTATCTAGGAGGGCTAGGTGCCGAGAGTTGGTGCAGGATCATGCATTCCAGGAAGGCTTTGAGAAAATTATGATTAGGAGGTCATAAAAATCAGTGTGGGTTGAGTCTGGCAGATTGTAAGTTGTATTTTCGTTTATAGTGGATCTCTACTGGCTTGGGCCCGGAGTTTTACCCACATCGGGGTTTCTCCGTCATCAAACAATTGCGTTATTTACTTTTCTGCAATTAATTTATTACTGGCATTCAAACATAAGATAGTAAAGCATGTGAACTAATCTGGTCAAATTAATATTTGTGACGTGTTGCAATTATTAATTGATTGAAAAAGAAAATTTCGCATAAACACCTATT